TTCTCACTCACGGTTTAGTGGTCATGTCATGATTGATTTACTGTACATGTTGTTTAAAGTGAAGGTTTGAGAACACACAATACACTTATTTAGAAACATGACAGAGTTCATTATAAACGACAAACATTTCATTAAGTTGACTAGAAAGATTAGAAAGGTGTGTTTTTGTTAATTCAATAATGTATTTATCCAAAACAGCAATCAGAGAGTTTGGGTTCAATTTCAACAAGTGTTATGTTATAATGTTAAAATGATTATTCTGGTGTTAAATGTTTTAAAACATATAGAATGATACTTAAATTTGAAAACTGGGAAAATGTGGCGTTACAGCAGCAGGTTATCCAAACACACAATATGAGTAAAAAACACAATGTTATCAAATCTAAACATAATATAATATTAAATACAAAGTAAATAAGCACTAAAAAATATCAAAACTAAGAATGTGAATATATACAACCAGGATTTAACTAAGCATTACTAGTCTTAAATAGGAAGATTAAAATGTACATGTGCAAAAACAGAATCGTAGATGATTATAAATTAAATATGAAAGATTAAATGTAAATGTGCAAAAACAGAGTTATAAATGAACAGTATTGACATAAGTTAAAGTGCAGGAGTGTAGACATATAATAATCAGAAACTATACAATATAACGGTGAGTAGACAGCCAAATGAAGTGAACATGAGTGCAGGGATCATTTGTAAATTTAACATGTGCAGAACAGATGACAGTATGGAGAGACAGATATTATCATGATGACAGTTCTCTGCTCGCATGAGGTGAGCTGTTGTACAGAGTTCTGGCCTTCGGTAAGAAAGATTTCTTGTATCTGTCCTTGTGACAGCGGAGTTGGATCAGTCTGTTGGAGAAGCTGCTCCGCTGTTTGTCCTGTAGGGTGTGCAGAGGGTGATCAGGATTATCCATCATGGATAACAGTTTGTTAAGAGTCCTCCTCTCTGTCACAACTATAAAAGAGTCCAGCTTGCAGCCTATCACAGAGCAAGCCTTCTTAATGAGTTTGTCCAGCCCTCTTAGTGTCACCAGCTCCAATGCTGCTCCCCCAGCAGACCACAGCAGAGAACAGTGCACTGGCCACAACAGACTGATAGAAGATCTCCAACATCTTGCTGCACACGTTGAAGGATCTCAGCTTCCTCAGAAAGTAGAGTCGGCTCATTCCCTTCTTGTACACAGCCTGAGTGTTGTCCTGAATCATGAATATGATACAAAACTCAAGTTAGGAACAAAACAAAACACTAACACATACCCACATATACACAAATAGTTACCTTTCGTATGCTTGAGACAATAGATAGGTTTTAAGTTTAGCTTTAAAGTAGAGACATACGTTAAGACATAAATGTAGCACATTAAATGTAGCTTGGTTTGAAATGTTTAAGTTCAAGTTATCTTTATTAGTCAAATGCACAACATAACAAGCAAAGCAATCATAGCTGGCAATGAAAGTTTTGTGTTCCAAGCTCTCCTGAAGAATGCAAAAATAAAAAATAGTATAGAAGATAAGAGTAACAACGTACAGTGCAACTAAGAACCAAAAACAGTAAATACAAAATTAAATAAAACTAGAATATATGTACAGTATATATATGTAAATATGTATGTATAGAATATATATATATAACAATAAAGTAAAGTGTATTTGGTTTATACAGTAACACATTAACCAAAGTCTTAGGATTGTAGCTGAATTACCTTTTCTACAAATCAACAATTTACATTTTTTGTTTAGTACTAATTGCAAAACTTTGTAGTAGCGAAATCCGCCTACGTCATCATGTTACATCACATGACGTCTAACTGTGTTACATGCTTTTTCTTTGTATTTATTTCAACAGTATAGGAAGCCCCGCATGAAGCAGGGCATCAAAAAATTAGATTGAACTCATAATGTTCCTCTCCACGGAAATCTTTAGTAAAAGGCGAAAGATTTATACGATCTGAAGAGAAACTTGAGTGACTGATGAGAAAAGTAACAAGTATAAAAAGTCATTCTCCTAGAGACACTTCTCACTCACGGTTTAGTGGTCATGTTACAACTTACTGTATTCGTTGATTAATATGCGTGAATGTTTAAAGTGAAGGTTTGACAACACATAATACACTTATTCAGATACATGATAGAGTTTATTGTAAACACATTTGATTAACTTGATTATAAAAGCTAATAAAACCCACAACACCAATCAGAGAGTTTGGGTTCAAATCCAATACGTTTTGATATCATTAAAATGCTGTAACATCAATATCATTCTTTAGTTTCTTAATCTGGTGTTACATGTTTAAAACATATAGAACTGATTTAACATACCTTTTTTAATATTTTAGGGTATAAGTACAGAATAGCATTAAGCATTTGGCTACATGTTTATCAAAGAGTTTACATAAGTTAAGACACAATTGTAGCAAGTTATATTTAACTTACCTTTTTTTATTTCTTTTATTTATGATGTCCGGATCACAGCCCTGGTTTGATCAGTTTCTTGGTTCATACAGTAACAAAGCATTAACACCAAGTTATCTTCTCAAGCAAATAACATATTATATTTGTTGTATTTCTTTCAACAGTATAGGAAGCCCCGCACAAGGCAGGGCATCAAAAAATTAGATTGAACTCATAATGTTCCTCTCCACGGAAATCTTTAGTAAAAGGCGAAAGATTTATACGATCTGAAGAGAAACTTGAGTGACTGATGAGAAAAGGACTAAGTATAAAGAGTCATTCTCCTGGAGACACTTCTCACTCACGGTTTAGTGGTCATGACATGAGACTGTGATTACTGTACACATTACATTTTGCAGGTTTGACAACACATAATACACTTATTTAGAAACATGATTAAGTTGACTAGAAAGATTATAAAAGCCATATGTGTGTTTTTGCTTAAAGAACAATGTATTTATCCAGAACAACAATTAGAGAGTTTAGATCCAATTTCAAAAAGTGTTGATAACATTAAAATGCTGTGACATCAGTTTTTATTTTTTATTTCTTTTATTTTTGATGTGTATGTATGTCTGTGTATTCATTTCTAAAGATGTTGCTGCTTCTTTTCTTGGGGGTATTTTATTTTTTTCTTCATCTTACGTTGAAAACATGTTTGTTGAAATGAAATAACCATATGAATGAAGCAACTCTTTGAAAAAAATAAAAATAAAGTATATATATATATATTAAAAAAAATGCTGTGACATCAAAATAACACTTTATTTTTCTTAATTTGATGTTAAATACTTAAAACATAGAACTGATTAAACTTAAATACAAAATATTTGAGGTAATAACTACAGAAAAGCATTAAGCAGCAATACCAGTAGTGTACCATAATTGTTATATCCATCCTTTATTCAGCCACTTTCATTCTTTCAAAAAAGATACCTGGATCACAGCCCTGGTATGATTTGTTTCTCTATTTTTATACAGTAACAAAGTATGAACCAATTAACCGAAGACACTACTATCCACACCATTTAATACATAAAGTATGACAAGAACAACATAGATGTGGCATTAACAAATATTACTTTTTGTACAACTGAGGAAGCCCCGCTCAAGGCAGGGCATCAAAAAATTAGATTGAACTCATAATGTTCCTCTCCACGGAAATCTTTAGTAAAAGGCGAAAGATTTATACGATCTGAAGAGAAACTTGAGTGACTGATGAGAATAGCAACAAGTGTATCGAGTGATTCTCCGACAAACACTTATCACTCACGGTTTTGTTGGCTTACGACTTACTGTATACGCTTTTAAATATCAAGGTTTGAGAACACCCGACACGATTCAATTAGAAATACTTATTTAGACCATAGACTTTAAATATTAGATTTAGATTTGGACACAGGAAACGTATTTATTTTTTAAGAAATACGTTTTCAATCGTCTGAATGGTTCCGCGCGGTGCATGACGGGTACTGTAAGGGTAAATATTTTACACATGGCATTTGTTTAGTTTTGCTTGCGCTTCAATCAAACAAATCAAACATTTCATAAAAAAAAGTACTAATAACATTAAAAGTGACCGCAAATAACAAAGAAATTCAGATAAAAAACCACGTGTGTATCAAAACGTGTTCGTAGGTTCGTACAAGAAACTTGCTAGTACGAAGATATGTGGGTAGTTTTAATAAAATGCAAACTTTTTGTGAAATTGTTTCGACTTTTTGTTTTATTTAAGTCATATTTAAGTACCAACATATCCCCAAGAAACACTTAAGACGACAAACCACCAACACAAAGACTTGTGAAGCAGAGTCAATGCTCATTCAGACGCTTTTGTGTTCAAAACTTCTTCCTTCTTTTCTCCAAATGATTTGAAGGTGCATGTTGTTAAATGGGTGTTTACCATAGACTTTAAATATTAAGGTGATTACTGATATGATTACCCAGCAATCCTAGTGGCCAGACTTGTACCAACATGGGGAAACAATGTGTTTAATGTGTTGTAATATTTACAGTCTATGGTTTGAGCGTGGAAGAAAGATTTTTGATTCAGGAAATATGGTCTTAGAAAGGATTGTAAAATCATTAGCCATTTATGTTATAATCCTACTCAGGCCATTTTCACAACCTGCTGTCCAATACAACTGGGTGCATCAGATTTCTCCACTTGTTACAAATAGAGGAATGCCTTCAAGCATGTTTCTAAATCTACAATATTTGGACTTGTTACCTTCATGACAATGATTACGTTCATCCAGTTGAATCTTGCCCTGCTCCCACTTGACGGGCCTATACATCCCTTTGAATACACATTCACATTTTGTTTCAGAAGAAAGGCTATCTGAGGGGGAAGAAGTGCAACGGGTGGTGCAAATGGTTAGTGCCTAATTCAGTTGTTTGGAGAAGTACCGGACGGTTTACAGATCAACAACACTTATCATAGCAGATATTTGTTTTCACTTCCCTCCTTTAAATTGAGTATGACAATGCCGAGCTACATGTCTTAAAAAAGTTTACCAGCATACACAAGAGTTTGGTTCAACACAAACGAGGTTTATTTGTGGTAGCGCCACACTTTCTTGATATAATCTGCAAAATTACAAAACTGCTGGTAATATGCTTACCAGCCCGATCTCTTAATTCAAATGCTCTTGATCACAATACATGAAGTTGTGTCGCAATCAGAATGTTAGAAGTACAACACACAAATGGCAGTTTTGTGCAAAAAAAAACATTATCAATACTGGAAATATGAGAAAATACAGTAAACATCAAAGTGGCAGGGCGTTCTGTGTAAATGTCAAGAGACAGTAAGTTATGATTTAGCTCAGAGGTGCAGTTAACAGCAGCACTGTGATTCAGTATTTTTTTTTCCATGTTTTTAACAAACCGTCGAAACGAGGCCTGTAGCCCCGCTTGACTTTGACACTTTGAGAAGTTTCTGAAAGTGAGGGTGTTAAGACTGCACTTCACACCATAATTATGCTTTTTGAAAAAAGGGCACACCATTAAAGTTGTCACCTTGGTCCATCGACATCCGAAGGATTGTTTTGTTCTGCTTTATCTTTTGGTCATCTGTTCGTATATAAATATATGTAAATATTTTAATATAAAAATAAGGCAGGTTTTAAGTTCTCCCCAGTGGGATTTGTGATCCGACTGTGCACTTTTCCGTGTCCATAAAGCCACAAATAGCGTACTGGTTCATATTCTTGCACACACACAAAAGCAGTAAGACATCAGAAAATCCTTCAGCTTCACTTTCCTCCAATTATTTCAAACGATTGTTAAGTTAAGGTTAAAAGTGTCTTTGTGCAGCTCCCGACAGCTCCTCCAGTTCATATGGCCTTGACATCGATAAGGTGGCCGTGCTGGGCCCTTGCCTCAGGGTCTTGATCCCCTGCAGCTTGCGGCCGTGTAGTGTGAAGCGAGACCAGGCGGCCAGCTGGAGCAGGGCACACGTGATAGGCACAAACACCACCATGTAGAAGCAGCCCAGGCGAAGAGGCGGAGTCCCTGAGCCGGCGGCAACGTCGGGCACCTTCACGGGTTCCCTCTCGAAAATATCGTAACCTGGAGACGAGAATCAAGAGGCTCTTTGATGTCAGCAACACACACATGAAGCAGTTTCACATGTTGAGCTGCTTTTTCAGAACTGTTGGCACGTTTCTTTTAAGAATATAAAAACAATCACACTACTAAAGTTGACCCTCGTAATTTAACAATTCAATTTTGATGACTAAGCTAATAAGTTAACGTACAATTTCACATAAGGCTTTATTTGAAGGGAATGATTGGCACTAAATAATGTCCCTTCTCTTAAAAGTTAATTGTAGTGTGGTACGTTTGTTTGCTTCCTTCTTGCAGTAAGAAGGTAACCGGCTCGATACTTCTTCCTTGTCTGAACTCTGATTAGGAATCTACATTCAGGAGTGTGTTAGCTTAGCTTAAATCGCAAAAAGACTGTAGGCAGGTAGAAACAGCTGGCCCTGTTTTAAGGAAGTTGTGGACACTCATGACTCAGAGAGACATTAACACAAGATATGCTTGATTCTTCTCTATTTATGTATTTCATGCTGCACATTCTTCCTGTAACTGAATACAAGAACACAGATCAGCATCATTTTGTGTCAGCCTCTAACACCTTCATAATATTGATATGAAAACTAAAAGGTTCACTCTGTCTACACAGTGGAAAGGATAAGAGCAAAGTGAAAGTAATCTTTGGTCTTTGGGCTTAAATGCATGACACAAAGACCAAACTTCTCAAATGTCATTAAACCAATTATTTAACAAAACATCAGCCATGGCGGGAAAAAACGCTCAGATGTTAAATTTCACACATGAGTCAGTTTGAGTACAGCTCTAGTTTGGACTGCTGACTGGATCTGGGTCAAGTTGAGTTAGTTTGGTTACGTCTTGTTTGTCCAGTTTAACTTGTTTGCTCTTCATAACGCGGGTCTCACTTACACAAACCCTTACCAACACTTTTTCTTTGACAGCCTATCCTCTAGATCATTTATTTACAGAGGGACACATGAACACATTCACCTGTAGCAGCATGTAAAAAAAGGTAAATATGTCTTCCATTTCTCATGAGGATACAATGTGTGTGTGTTTCTGTTTTTTACCTGTGTAAGCACACAGCAGCCAGGTGCCAATGAGTGGAGCGAATGTCTGGCCAGGTTTGGTCAAAAGGGCGACCATCCCGAAGAGGAGCGCAGAGGCGGCCTGCTGACGCTTGTTGACCACAAAGTCTTCATCCACCAGGTCGGTAATGACCAGCTTCAGCAGCTTGCACGTCCCTTCTGTGAACACCCGGTTACTGGAAACGAGAAAAATAAAAGTTAGGTTCCAGTTATTTAGGATGTATGAGCTGTAATGAGGTTTGTGATTTACTAGGGGAAGACGTTTTAGCTCGTCAGGGATCATTTCTAATGTCTCGTTTTGTCTCTGAGAAGGGGAATAGTTACATCTTCTGGCCTGACGTAGGAGATATTATACATACAACAACATATTGTTTGAGATGCACTGTTTCTATAAAGTACTAAAACCATTCCCCTGCACACTCCACCAGGGCTCTGCTGCTTAGTGCAAGACAAACACTGAAACTGTGACGTCCCCACTCTTAAGTTGAACCTTTTTTACTCTCCCTTTCTCCCATTACAACGAGAGTAAAAATAACTTTTTTATAGAAGGGGTTGTTTGGGGAATTCTCTCTTTTTTAAGAATAAAGTGGTCATGTATGAAGGGTGTCAGATTTAAAGCTTTTTATGGGACCCACTTTGGGGTTTTTATTCTTCACTTTGTTTCGACTGCAGCCACTTCAGATGATTTATTCTAACATCTTAAAGGTCGACTGTCTGCACTGTTTGAGAATGAATGGATTGAAGTCGTTTTGGTCAGAGATCACCGACCTATCTGGTGTACCATTACAGGCATCAGGCACTATGTACATGTGTGACTGTCCAAGATGGAAGCATGAGACGCACAGACCTCCTCACTCTCCTAACCATCGCACTGTGCTGTAACGGTGCAGAACTCTTTAAACAGGTTCGCACTTGACAAACGCAGCAACCAGAGGGGGGCTGTTAAAGTCAACAGCTGCGTTGTAGTTCTGTCAGTTTCCACTTGATGTGGCTGTCACCTGTTGTATGTAATTAGAGGGAGCAGAATGTCACATAGAGACACATCTGTAGAAAATGGATCAGAGATGAAGTATAAACCATGACAAAGTGTAGCTTGGATCCCTTTTTGTGTATATTTTCAAAGTCAATGTGTCAAAAAAAGAAAAAAAACTTATCAGGGCTTGCAGCCTGAACAAGCAATTCTGTGTGCCAGAAGCATCTACTTAGAGCCAAGTCAACTTTTCCCAAGAATAAAAAAGATAACACAATGTTTGGATAGAACTCATGACAAATGTTGACTTAACCTCGGACACACTGCGATAAGAAAACAACTCAGAGCGTTTCTACGTGTCCTTGAAACTGCTTAGGTGCGTTTGTCTACTCAGCATGAAATTATACAACAAAAAAAAAAACAAGCAAACAGAAAGTTTACGCTGTCACACATCCGATTTCTGATGTGTGTGCTGCTGGTGTGTGTGCGTGGGCCATACCTAGCAATGAAGATGCACAGCAGATAAATGTGGTCAGCCCCTGCCAGCAGCATAGCCACACTAAGTCCCAGTTTGACCATAAATAGCCAGCGGATAACCTGGTAAACCCCGTAACGCTGGCACAGTGTCAGGAAATACAAGTTGTTCAGGTGGGGGGCAATGTAAGAGATCCCTGCGTGGGAGCAAAGCAGAGCGGCGTTAAAATAAAAAGACTAACCAGCACAAAGAGGATCTGAATGTGAAAGAACAAAAAGCAAATGGATATGAAACATATTGACTTGTTTTCAATTGTAGTCTCAACTGTATCAGATTCTAAAATGCAGAAGATCTTCTGAAACTAGGCTCAAATGAATGACATGGATCCCTATATTTAATGTTTTACAACTTCAAAAAAGGCGTCAAAATCACTGATCACGGTCAGCTTCAGGCTGCCAGCGGTGGTAAATCTTCACTCTCAGTGTTGTACAGGCATATAAACCAGAGCTGGAATGAAATATGAAAATAATCGAACTTTTACTGCAAATGATCACATCTTCTTTGATCTCTTAAAACATGTAGCCTAGCCTCAACAGTCCTGCTTTACTTACTGCACTGATCATTGTGTCTTATGTCTAGCAATAGACTTACCAAAAAAAAAAAAAAAGACTGTAATGTGTGATTTATTTTTGTTGTCTTGAAATGGAATCTCACCCAGTAGGATTGACCCGGTGGAGGCAGAAATATTGTCAGACAGGAGATGCTCCAGGAAAAGAGGGAAGAAGTTGCTGTTAAAATGGCAGTGAAACACCTGCAGGGGGAGCAGAGACAACAGAGAGAGTGTTTCTGAGCAGATCAATGAAAACAACTGAACACTGCTGAAGACTGGACACATGAGAAATACAAGAGTATTTTAATATTGTTATTTCTAATATTCTTACGAATGCCCCCACATAAAAAGAGATTGCTGTAATATTACACACTTTCACATTGTCCTTATAGTCTACACTTATATATAGATTCATTTTTTATTTTAGCACATCTTCCCACTTTAACTCTACCTTAAATGTGGTTTCCTACCTGAATGAGGTTCATGGACACAAACCACAAGAAGTTCTTGTGTTTGGAGAGCTGCTTGATATACTGTCCGATAGTGACCGGTTTTTCTGGGTGTGTCAGTGGAGCGTGGCCGACGCTCAGGCTAAGTCAGAGCAAAAGAAAACAAAGAGCAAAGTGAGATAAAGAAGTGGAAAAACAAACACTTCAGTTCCAGAGAATATCCTCTTCTTTAGAAAGTCCTTACTCTTTGAGCGTCTGTGCCTCATCCAGCTTGGGAAGGACTTCCTTTTGGAAACGTTGCCGCAGCAACCGAGACACCAAGAAAAAGCCCAAGACGGAAAACGCCGCCAGAGTCACACAGAAGACACGGAAGGAGTAGAAGTCCTCCCTGTCCCAGAAGGAGTAGGACAGGAACACTGAGAAGGAGCCCAGAGCGCTGAACACGGAGCAGTGGAAGTTGAGGCGCGTGCGATCGGCGGCGGACACGGCGAGGTCAGCCAGCAGGGCGCTGTGGTGGAGGTCCACCATGGTGAGGAAACCGTCGTACAGACACAAACACAGCAGGAACTGCAGGCCTGGACTGGCCCACGCCACCCAGAAGGCCAGGAAGGACAGGGAGAAGAGGGGGCCATTTGTGGAGAGGGCCTTAAGGCGCTTCAGCACCACCTCTGGAGTTGTGATCTGAGAGCCTGACCTGAGTGGGAAAACACACAAAAACATCAGCAGTTATTAGATAGAATCAAACAAATTGCAATCATTTCACAACACCTCAGGGGCAAAGACAAATACCGAAGCAATCGTATGTTATTTTGAATTTAGTGGTCACTTTGGATGGCTCACATGATACTTAAAAATCCCAAACGTGATCGCATAATTACAACAAACTCCCCAGACCCAACAAATGATAATAAAGCCACCATAAAAAAAAAAAAGACAAGTAAAGGAGAAATCGTGCTCTTTTCTGCTTTAGGACACACACAGTCTAGTTAAAGGTTAGAGATGTAGCAACGTGATTAACTTGGTTAAGTCAGAGTACAGAGTCCCGGTTTGCTTCATCACAGAGAGAGTCAAACACAGATGGCCGCCTCATGTTTGACAATTTGCGTTCTGATGACGCGTTTACCCCGGCTGACGTGCTCTACTACATCTTATTAAATAAAGAATGTTGACATACGCGTGAGCATTTGGTTACACCTGTAGAGTCTATGCTCATGGAAGTTATTAGACGATGTGTGCACGGATAATAGACGCAGAAATCTGGATGTTGATTTAACTTCTTTTTGCGTTTGTGTTAACTGTTGACTTTGATTTAAACATTATTAGTCACACGGTTTCGTCTTTGGGTGGAGATACTTACTGAGGCGAGCTGAGGAAGGAGCGATCACTCAGCCAGCCGAAGAGAGGGTCGTTCAGACTGTTCCATATCAGGAAAACTGACTGTGAGGCAGCAGAAATATGTCGGTTAAGAAAACATCTAAAATCAACAAACAGATGATGAAAATGGTGACGACGGATTATCTACAGTTTTCAAAAATGTTTAGCAATTTTCTAAGACTCTAAAGATCTGAAAAGTGGAGCGACTGTGGAAATGAATTGTGTGATTGTTATTTATTAACTTATTTATCACCAGGCAAATTATGCATCTGCCTGTTCTGAGCAGGGCTGAAATAGAGGGGGTTATAGACATGATCAAATACAGGATCAGAGTGGATTTAGAACAAGACACTTCACACACATGTTATGAGGAGCTCTGAGACTTATTTAAACTGGTTGAAGAGGAGGAGATTATGTCACTTTGAAATGTCAAATTAGTCAAGAAACTGGTTTGTGAAATACTTGATTTCTTCAATGTGATGAATGAGTAATTCAGACAACAACAACCAGCCGACAGTGATTATCTGGCTTAATGTATTACATTTAGAGAGAGACATCTTAGCATGTACAACAAACAACATGCATACTTTGTTCCTAAATTACAAAATGTCTTACATGAGACTTAATATGATCTGTAGTCTGAGCCTCATTGAATCCTCTTCAGTCTAAATCTTAAAAGGGCAGGAAACTGAGGTTGAACCTGTTGGCCTATCAAAGGGGTTAGCAGGGCCAACATTTATGACCCACAGGAACAAAGGGTTGGTACATTAGTGCTACATTTCAAGCCTCCACTGTAAGTCATAAATGTCTCGCATGGGTTAAAGTGAGCCCTCTCCATAGCTGCCCTCTCCCTCTGGAACTCACTCCCCACACACATTCAACACTGCACCGACCCTCACTTTCAAAACTCACCTCTTTAAACAAGCTTTTAATGTATGATTGTGATGTATTTTCTGTTTTCTGTTGTTTACCTTTATGTTGTTATCTTTATGATTTGTGTGTAATGCTGCAATGTCCGTTAGTCTGTCCTTCTGTGCTATTCTTTATGTTTTAACCATTGTAAAGTGTCTTAGAGTTTTTAAAAGCGCTTATAAATAAAATGCATTATTATTATTATTATTATTATTATAAAGTGACTCACCTCTCCAATCCAGAAGGAGACTTTATCAATCTTGTAGACGGACACGAATGTCTGTACGTAGTAGAGCAGGAACACATTGTGGAGGATGGAGGTAAACAGAGCCAGAGAGCCATAGAGCACTGCAGTGGAGAAGACACTTTGCCAGCTCCAGACCCTCCTGCCCATTCTTCTGTCTCGATCACTCCGTTCTCTCGTTTTTTTCTCCGCGCCACGCTGCAATCATCTCCCTGCCTGGCCGGCCCGGGGTCACCACCGCATAATAGCCTGCAAACACACACACACAGCGCATGTGGGAAAAACTCATTTAGACTTGACAGAAAAAAACTCTGAAACTTATTTTCAGATTTCTAAAAATATATCTCTGCGGGCATAGGTGGACATTTCTGCTCAATCTTAAGGTTAAATCTCAGCATTAACAACAAAAACTTCTGTTAACAGGTCTTTGCTATCCATATGAAGTTTGAGCATAATGAAAGGGAGCTATTCTTGTAGCAACAGTACTGTAGGTGCTTATTAAAGTGAGTTAGGCTGAAGGCTACAGCTCCTTTCTCCACCCAGCTGTGGTGTGTGTGTGTGTGTGTGTGTGTGTGTGTAAAACTGTACTTTTCCTCTGCTATTTTTACGACCACTCCTTTGGCCCTTCCTCTAACTGTCGCTGTGTCCTAAAATCTGGTCTTATTCACAATGAATCCACAAAAGGAAAGCATATGATACTCTTTTCTTTTCAGGCTTTATTGTCCTGATATGTCATATTCGACAGCTACACCCTCAGAGTATCAACTATTGTAAATTTGAATGGATCAGTACAAAGAAATCATAGACTAGATTGTGTGTGTGTGTGTGTTGTAGATGAATAAACAATGTTGCCTCTGTTCCACATCTCCTTCCCATTACTGTTTTTCCAACCCAAACAGTGAGAAAATGCTGTATCAGTTTCACTGGCATTGTCTCCCTTTCCGTTTTTAGCCACTGGTGCAATCTTGCACGTAGCACCTTTCATTTAAACATACCACAGGTATCTTACTTCACACCAGACTGCCAAGTTGCAACTCGCCCTGAATACAAACATCCGTACATTTATTCACTGGGGAGCCGTATAATAGCTCATAATAACAGTGTCTCAAGGCATGATTCTTTCAGTCTGCGTCTATCGCCCTGTAACATATAAAGCTGCAAAACCTCAGTCTCAGGATCTCTGTGAGATCACAAACTCGTCCAAACCAACCTCCCTGGGGTGCAACAAAAAAAGATTTCCAAGCCGGTTTCCTATCAGATCCAAGCCGTGAAGCAAGATGAATCCCAGCTGGCTGCGTCATATCACATCCCTAAACTCATATCTTCCAAAATTCTCTGCAACAGGGCGAGACTTGGATCTACAAATATCCAATTCATGTCCTCTGAGCCACAGCAGTTTGAGAGTTATCTTCACTTATGGGTGGGTGGGTGGGTGGGTGGGGGTTTCTTGGCAGGAGAACCGTAATAACCTGTGGAATTCAGTCTGACAAGTAGGAGATATGTTGGCACAACACGGAGTGATACCTGATCTTAAGGTGGGCGAGCAGAACGACAAGTGTGCACCCATCACAACACCTGTTACACACGATCAGGTTACAAGAGCAGCTGGTAGTATATAAACTACATGCGACAGCCCTGGATGGAATGGTAAAGTCATAAAATAATAAAGGGAAATTGCATATAAAATGTAAATATTTAACTTGTTAATTTAAGCTAAACATAAACGAAAAGTTAAGGTCCTAATAGCGTTGATAATCCTACATAATTCATCTGTTGATTTCTATAATAGAATAGAATAGAATTACTTTATTGATCCCAAACTGGGAAATTGTGGTGTTACAGCAGCAGGTTATCCAAACACATAATATGAGTAAAAAACAATGTAATCAAATCTAAACATAATATAATATTAAATACAAAGTAAATAAGGCACTAAAAAATATCAAAACTAAGAATGTGAATATATACAACCAGGATTTAAGTTAGCATTACTAGTCTTAAATATGAATATTAAATATGAAAGATTAAATGTAAATGTGCAAAAACAGAGTTATAAATGGACAGTATTGACATAAGTTAAAGTGCAGGAGTGTAGACATATAATAATCAGAAACTATACAATATAACGATATAGATATAGATAACAAAGATCCAAAATGTTTCATAGTCTGTAGTTACTGTCAATAGCAGCTGATAAAATAGGCAGGTTTTTAATAAAACGGAAATATTTGCCATAAGTGGGCTCGACTTCCGCTCATGGTTAGTACTCCGCAGCCTGATTTCAGTGCTAACATTAGCAAGCTATTAGCTCGTTATCGACAGCGTTAACATGCTGCCCACCAGGAGATACACGCTGTTTGTTTTTAACTACCTTTAAGTATAATCACAACAACGGTAAATAAAACGTCACGTACCGAAGAAAAAAGCTGCTCACCAGAGCTGATAAATCGTGTTTTGGTGCTCGGGTGGTGACGCTGATCCTGCGCTAAGTCAGCAGCAGCAGCAGCAGCTGTGTGTGTGTGTGTGTGTGTGTGTGTGTGTGGATCACTGGTGAGGCAGACGGAGCACGTGACGTCATCATGGCAACTGGAGTCATGACGACCGTAGTCAGGGGCTGTGAGCAGGCGCGTCTCACCCGTGGGTGTTGTGGGTGTTGTGGGTGTTGCCCCCACACTTTTTTAAAAACCAGTGGAGTCATTGATGAAAACCTATTGGTCAAGTAAGATTTATTAAGTGACAATTAAGCCAATCGTAGCTGTTTGGTTACAGTTGAAGCAGGATTTTATTTGTATTTATTTATTTATTATTATTATTATTATTATTTATTTATTTATTATTATTATTATTATTATTATTATTATTATTATTATTATTTATTATTATTATTATTATTATTATTATTGTTATTTATTTATTTATTTTTTATTATTATTATTATTTATTTATTTATTTATTTGTTAGGGACAGTGCATACATGTAGCATCCTTCTGAAAGACAGTTAGTCACTCAAACAAATGTTTTTTAAGATAAATCCACCTCACAAAACAACCTAAGTGTAACATTTTCTCCTCTTGGTTGTTCTTTTAGCTGTATTTATTTACTCCCGTAACGTTACGATGTGGAAGTCCCCTTTGCAGTTTTTCAAAATAAAAGCACATTTTATATTAAGACAGGAAATAAAGAGACTGAGGCGTAAGGCAATAAGACAAGCAAAATAAAAGCATCACAAAGAGCAGTTTTGAATCTCGTTTTTAGAGCTTAAGTTAACTGGGTTATTTCACAATGGATGCTCATAAAGTTAGTGTCTAATTATCTTTTGTAACTTTGCTAACATTAGTTATTGGACATTAAATGAAACAGAATGATAGGCTGCCACTTTAAGTATAGCCAACATTTTTTAATTTAGTGTTTCCATAGTAACCAATAGGCCTAGATGAAAATGGTTGGATGTTAAGAACCGTGTTATAAACTGTTCACAGTTTCACTTTAATTGTAGCCTAAAGCAAACAAATATGAAACCTTTACATAGATTTGTATTTTAACTTCAATTGTACCCGTTTAACTAGGTGCAAGTATTTTTTTGTAAAAATAAAATAAATCCACATCATCATCTGATAAAATAAATCCACATCATCATCTGATAAAATAAATCCGCTTGCTGAAGAGACTCAGTTTTAAATAAATAAATAAATAAATAATAATAATAATAATAATAATAATAATAATAATAATAAATAATAATGAGAAAGAAGCAGGTAATAACTAAAGAAGGAAACAAGCTTTTACTTAAAAATAAATTTTAACAAAGTTAGTTGGTGTTCAGGTTTTTTTAGATTTTATAGTACATCTTACTTTCTTATTATATCATTAGAATTAAATACTAGGCTAAATCAAAAGTAGCCTATTTGTAACATGTCATTTAGATGACATGTTACAAATGATATAGCCTACCAACCGTGTACAAATTAGGTGTATTATGTATTTGAGTTCCACTGGTCCTTAAATCATACGTGGATAGAAGAGAAGAGGAAGCAGTAGCCTACGTTGATCTTTTTGTATTTCCATGTCTTCTCCAGCAGAGGTCAGTCAAAAGGCACGGATTAATTTGATCCTATTTATGAAAGTCATTTAAGCACAGTGGGATAATGGCAGAAAAATAATTGCAGAAAAAGTCTAGTCTTGTCTGAAAAAGTAGAAACAGTAGCCTATAGCAGTCATATAGGCCTAGATAAAGAAAGAAAGATAAAGGTAAAATGTTATTTATTTTTTTGTGGTTTGGACAGTTTTCTTTACTCAATATGGAAATATCATGTCTTACTTTATTTAGAATTTTAACTCTTTATGAGCTATTTCTCAATAATTTATTAAGTGGAAAAGACTCTTTGACTGATAAGGTCAAAATAGTTAGAAAACAATCGTGAGTTATGTTATGTAGCCTACAAAAAACACATAATAGGCTAATAATAAATACATTAAAAAAGGAATAACATAATATTATAAGGCTGTCCCATACGTAATAATAAAACACTTGTGTAGCGTTAAAAGCTCAAATTGAGCCCTATATTTAGCAATTATTACAACAAAACAAAAGGAAAGCTGCTGAGGAAACTGTATGGTCACAAGATAAGACAGGGTGACTTATAGGCTATGAATCCAGAGTGTGTGTGTGTGTGTGTGTGTGTGTGTGTGTGTGTGTGTGTGTGTGTGTGTGTGTATGACCGGGTGGGGGGAGTGTGTGTGAACACTGGATAACTGCAGCAGCAGCAGCAGTAGAGTAGAGCTCTGTGTTTCACCGCGGAGAGGACGACTCAGAGGGTTTTTTTTGTGGACTCCAGAAAACAAGCAGGTGAGTCTCCTTTTTCTGCTTCACCTTTCATAATGTGCGTTCACGTCTTTTCCTCCACTTTTCCTCACGCAAGTGCACTCTTCAGACATCCATTAGTACGCAGGTAAAGGTGATTAAAGAGTGTTTCCCCCTCGCTGCTGCTGCAGTCTGCAGGTCGGACAGGTGCACATGGGCGGATGTTTGCACATTCATTGCGCGCCCGGACTATTTACAGACAGTAACCTACAAACCTCCTATTAGACCTACTTCTGTCCAAGTTACGTGTGGTGATCCCTGACATGTTGGATGTGTTTTTGGAACCAAAGTCACTTTAGTTTCTCGTGAGATTACTGCACCTCTCTTTAAAACAAACACAACATTTATCTGGATGTCGTTTTTTTTTGTTGTTGTTGTTGCCTGTTCCTGACTTCTACTGTTGGATGAAGAAGAGACTCATGTAGCACGACGAGACAAAGACGAGTGGAACAGAGGAGGGATAATAGACTTCTCAATGCGGAGTTTTTGTTCTAAAAAGTCATTAATGAAACTCAACCATCGGAAGAAATGGATTAGAAGTTGTATTTTGTTCAGATATTAGTGTGTCGTGTAAAGGATGCACCATGCTGCAGAATACTCCATTATTAGTGTACGCCAAAAAGCTGTTATAAGTAGCCTATAAAATATCGTAATCGAGTCCAAATATAGATTAATTGACCCCATAAGATAACACATTTTAACAATATTGGATTATTACTGATGTATTTTTTTTTTTTTAGTATTTCAGTGTTGCTGCATGTAAAGTGAAGCTATTCAAGTGCTGGTTACTTAAACATCATGATCTATTGCTGCTAATCTGGTTCATATGTAAATAAACCGTAGATTAACTAGTAACTACACTGTGAGTATATGAAAGCACAAGAGTTGGTACTTAAGTCTTGGATGTGGTGGGACAGAAGTTTAAAAAAGTAAAGCATGCAATGGAAATGATCAAGGGGATAATAGAAAGTGCCACACATGTCTCCATTGCGATAAGGTATTTGTGATAATCACTATAAAATATTTGATTTTTAGTGATCCTTCAAATCAGAATCTGTAGATATTTAGGCCTGCTATAGATGGTTTTGTGGTTCAGATGCCCTGCAGCACATTTTCAGATGATCAGAGGTCTGACAATGTCCATTGGAGGGGTACTCAAAATAAATAAAAGACCTTCCTAACAGTTCCAGTTACCTGGCAACCCAGAACTTCTTCATATTATGAAAAGATCAGTAACTGAGTTTGTAATATTGTTAATCGATTTAGATTTTAAACCCATAATGAAGCCAGTGCTCCCACAGAAAGGCTGTTTTTGTTAAAGAGCAGTTCAGATGACCAATTACCATATTTTAACAGGTGACATGAAAGAGTAAATACAACAATTTGCTGTTTGGAGAGGAGCGCTATTACCTCAAGAGTAGGCTTTGTTTTTTTTCTAAAAGAGAAGAGGACGATTTTCCCAATGAGTCATAAATTGTCTTTTTTTTTTGGATGGTTCCTGGGATTTTAAATCAAAATTAGTTTTATTTTCAAGCTGTTGTTGTGAAAAAAAACCCAATGCTGACGTGCAAAAAAACTGCAGTTCCTTGAGTGTCCACTTGAGGCTTTAGCTGCAAAAGCCAAGTAATTAATGTTATAGTGTTCATATTAAAATACCCATATTTACATCAGAAATAAACATGATAACAGCCTGGTTCCAAAAACAGTTTTGGTCTCAATAGCTTGTATTGTTGGAAAAACATCACTTTTTTATAACTCATCTGTTTGATTAAACCTAAGAGTTATTCATAAATTGTTATATTTGCGAGTGTGGCTGAGTTGACTCACAGGTCGATCAGTGTAGCTGTTTGCCAGGTGGCCTAAGGCTCACCTCGCCTGTTTCTGGACTGATTGAAAGTTTGATGACATTTCCAATATGGCGACCGCCATCGTCTGGCTTCATAACGTCTCTTCGGAAACCAATGGGTGTTGTCATTGAGTCTGCGTCCATGTTTCATACACTCTATAACTGTTTATGGATCTCACCAAGAGCTGGCTCTGCTTAAGAACTCTTTATTATGACTCAACTTCAGGAAATAGGAACCTGTCATCACACATCATGTGGTGGATTCATTTACTAACAGGTCACGCACACATCACACCTAAAAGCCTCTTTAGTGCGGCTAAGCTCTCGTTGTGTATGTATTTCTTTCAAAGAAATCTTCTCTTATTCTTCATTTTGAATGTGATGACATGATATAAAGAGAAACCCCCGACAGAGGACTATTCCTCTTTGACCTCTCTACTTTCTATTTTCTGCGTACAAACAGGCTGATTATCCGTGTCAAAATAATAATTTAATGCTTCTGTGTGAATATTAATATCCCTAAGGATTTCTATACATAGCAGCGAACGTCGCCCACAGTGTGAACCAGCTCATTTGTTCTTTAATGTGCGAGTTATCTCATAGACCGCTCTGCTCTCTGACGGACACCCTGCGGCTCCAGATACAGAAAGGGAAAAAGGAATGAAATGTAATAACATGTTAGTTAAGTATATCCTATAATGTCATCCATTGAGTTTTCATCATTCAGTCTTTATCAGTTTATGTTTTAAGCACTAATGTATTCAAATGTGTGTCAGTGTGTTTGTGACTTGTGGCATTCTTAGGAGGGAGATTTAAAAATAGCTCACCAGTTTGATTGATCCTTCTGCAGGAATATCAATCGAGGTGTTTTTCAAATCATTCTGTCCTGCCTTTTCGATGTTTGTGTTGGAAAATGTCTTTATTTTCCTCTGCGAATCTCTTCAATTTTAGTCAGGTGTTTTTTTTTGAAGCACCAGAGATTATCACAGAAATATTGCTTGAAAGTAGATCTGTTGTAAGTAACCCGACTCTATGGATCGATAAAGAGGAAGAAAGTGATTGTCAAAGGTGCTCCAGACTCCACCTGCCGTTTTTGTTCCGCTCTTCTCCCATCATGCGTGACGCACCGCTCATGCCACTGCCAAGGCCGACGTGTTTACCTTTCCCTCCTGGAGCTTCGCCGCTTTCGTCAGTGAGAAAAACACGGCAGCCTGTCAGCGCCCGTGCCAGCTCCTGTAGTACAGTACACACACACACACACACACACAAACACAAAAAGCAAATGCAGATGTGATGGAACAAAGGTGTGTTTGCTGTGGGTTACGTGAGGGCAGCAGCTGACAAAACCACACCAGAGGGGCTTCTCACCCGCATGCCCGCTCCTCCAGATGATGTGTTGTGCTTTGGGTTGGCTACAGTTTAGAAAAGCGTGGGTTGTGGTTTTTTGGGTGGCAGTCGTCAAACAAGATGCTCTGTTGATCTGCCTTCAGTTCGGTGTTAAAGAGGAAACACACAGATGCAATGCAGCCATGGTAAAACACGTTTGTTTTTCATCATTTTGTGGCTCAAAAAGACAGCAGCACAACGTCTCCTTCATTGACTCACATGATGTCATTCGAGGCAGTCCAGACTAGAAGTGAAAAAAACAAACTGCAGCTGTTAAACTGGAAAGAAGTGAGAATATCAGACCGTCTGTAGCCTGCTCCTCATCTCTTGGCTTAAGGCGACATATGCTGCAACTAGCATCGCACATCCACAAATGTCTGAATCACACGGCAACCTCAGGTGTTGAGCAATGAAGCCGACGAGGAGGTGCAAAAGGCATACGCTCCTCAAGTGTCCAAATGAGGCCGTCTCAAAAAGCAGAGCCGAATAAACATGTTCAGTGTTTTGCTCTCTATGACACACTTAGTTATTTGTAAAAAAACTGAAGGGCAGGTACGTGTTTTCAAACACTCGTCTGTTTGTAGGCCTGCAGGGCAAAAAGAGCTCGGGAAAGTGGCGGCAACCAACGAGCACTCAGTGGAGCTCGAGAACTGGCTTTTGATTTTACCATCTTCAAAACATAAATATAAAGATAAACTGTAAGTTTGGGCCACTTGAGACCCTTATACATCACCAGTCCTTGCCAGAAGTACACTTCAGGGATGTTTACTATAGCTAGTTGAGAACCCTTAAATCCCAAAGTATGGGACGCGACCTCTCCATAGCGTGCAGCAATTAGGTAGCCTCTCCAGGCGGGCGGCTCCATAATTGAGAAGTAAGGCAAAGAGTTTTGTATACATTTACATAATGAGGGTTTGGGCTGAGATGACTGACAGGTGGACACGTTGTAGTTTTTCACCAGGAGGCTAAAGTCATCAGCTACAACTTTGCCTGTTACTAAAGTTACAGAACGTTAGTGAAAGAAGGCATTTCCAATATGGCGACTGAAGTCATTTGGTTTCCTAATGCCCCTTCAGAAACCGATGGCTGGCGTCACTAAGACTTTGTTTTTTTAAATGGTCTGAACCAACTGCAGGTGGTTGAGCTGCATGTGGGTGATTTAGGTTTTTATCTTTTATGGAGGAAACATTATTGTGGTTTAAAATGAAAACTGTGATTCTGTTGTTGATGGCATTAGTGATTAAAAATATCAATACATTCAAGATTGAGATGTTTGTGTTGAAGCTTACTGCTGGAAGGTGTGCGCCCCTAACGAGGCAAACAGCACAATCACTTTCTAGGTTTAACTTTTTCAGCCTTTACAAACAACAAAAAAACCATCCAGAGGTTGCACAATGCAAACTCAAACTCTTTCTGTCAACGTACCTCGGTGATGGATTTCTGCTGTGTTTGCAGTTTCCATTTGAGTGTGTGTTCATACTTGACCTTTGGAACAGAAGTTTGACCAAAAAAAAAAAAGTCTGAGCTAAACATTTACCTCCTGGCTTTGTCTGTTGTCTTTTTGCAGGGTCTTATTTCTATTTTCTTCTGGAATATGGAACCGATAAATACATATAAGTAGCTGGATTGTCTGTCAGACTTATCAAACTCCAAGATGACTAAAACCTAAAGTCATCTTTAGTTGACTACAGCTTTAACTCACTTAAGTGAATCAGGCTTCTGGACTGCTGAGGATGAGCAGACTGAGGTTTTGTGAAGCACTAGTACAGATATTAAAAGTAGAGCAAGCTTTAAGAAATAGTTCTGGATAATCACAAGGTGAGGGGGGGGGGGGATCCCAACACTGTCACATATACACACTTCTCATTCTCATCTCTCCTTTGTCATCTTCTAGGTTGGTATCAAAGCTTAGCACCCAAACTGCTAGCGGAGCGGTCATTAGCCTTTTAGGGCCTCATGCTGGGAGTGATTAGCAGCAGCAGCCGCCGTGGAGATTAAAGCGGAGAATTCTCCAGTGTCACAATGCGGCGGATCGGGGTTTCACAGTGTTGACCCTTTGATCAGTGACAGAGCCGGAGAGCCGGGCAGCCAGCCGGAGATTGAGCTGATGGCATGGGGCCTAATCTGTAGATTATCCGTCATGCTGCTCTCCGATGTGCAACACAGCTAATTAAGAGTTGGAGATGTGTGTTGCTGTATGACATCACTTGCTAAACTTTTTTAAATTGTCTTTTTTAATGTAACAAACACCGTGCTCATTTCACTTTGGCTAATTGGTTGTAATCAGAGAGTGATGATGCGTATCAGCGAGTAATTTTCTGCTCATGCTGACCGGTAGGAAAGGGAGTCAGTACAGTAAAGTTCACTGTACTCATCTGAGTGTTTTGAGATCTCTTTAAAAGTGTCTGTTTCTTTAAATATGAGGGATTTTAAAGGCAGGTGAAAAAGCAACTTTAACCGGTAGTAGAGATGAACTTGCTCAAATTAAAGGTACTCTCCCCTTGATTGTCCTTTTTCTGATACTTTCTGCCTGTAATAAAAAACACTTAAAAGGAAATCAGTACTTTTAACAGTAATGCATTCAATTGATTAATAATTTATTGTCATAAATAAATAATGTGTTTTACATTGTCTCCTTACAGGCAGCTGAGTTTTAAATTAAACATTTTGAGGCCTAATGAGAACACAATTAGATTTATTTGTGTTGTCATCTTTTCTACCCAACTATTCATGATGCGACCTCAGATGTATTTTGTGCCCTTAATGGCGGAGGGCCGACTCCTAGGTCGAGCAGATGCAACATTAAACTCCTGCACTCACATTGTTGCATCATTGATACAGATCCTAAATTGCTTTGTGTGATGAATTAGTCACAGAGGTCATTTTTGTACAGTATGAGTTTAATTTCACTTTGGATTTTGAAGGAAGGACATTTATTTTTTGTGTTTTTTTTTCTGCTCTGCATTGTTGTATTGTTTTATTTAATTAAAGGATCTGAGTACTTCAGTCTGATACTTGAACACAACAAGGTTGAATATTAACAGCACACTATGTCAGAGTAATTGTTTAGATGTTCATTTTGTTTTTATTTCAGACACCATTACACATAGTTTGAATTATTTATCTCTAAGTTAAACACTTTGTTTTTCCTCTTTCTCTGCACAGATCGATTGCGTTCTCAGCTGGAGGTTAATCAAAGAGTGCGTCCGCAGGCTGCTGGAACTAAATATACACACTTTTCCTTGTTTCAACAAACTTGAGTGCAACTGAGGCTGCCCTTGGACTCAGGGGTGTGAGTGTGTTAAACATGGGAGACCAGAGGTCAGTCCAGCCCCTGCTGCTTCTGCTGCTGCTCCTCACGCTCCTCGCCGGGATGTCACAGCTGTGGGCCTTCCCCTTCAGCCCGTCCCTGGACCTGGATGTCACTCCCAGGACTACTGTCTTCCTGAAAGGTGAGGGGGCAAATAGACTCTCTAACTTTTTCGAAACCATGAGATGAGGGGACAACGGGTATTTTGTGAATGGGAAATTGACGCCTCTTATTTAGCAACTTCAAACCACTCAAAAGGCTTTACACGACTACCCCATTCATTTCCATGGACATGATCATCTTCAATTTTCATCTTTCAAATCCACTTAGAAATCATTTGGAAAAGAGACAGTCTTTACAATTGTAGAACTTACTGAAGTTTTCTTCAGTATTAACTCAATTCAGCTATATTAAATGGTAAATGACAAATGAACTTGAGCTTGTATAGCACTTTTCCAATCTTAGACTAATCAGACACTGCATGTCACACATACCCATTCACACTCTGATGGCAAAGGATGCTACTGTATGTAAAGAGACCATCAGAAGTAACTAATCCCATTCATACACATTCATTCTCCGCTGAAAAAGCAGACGAAGCAACTTGGGGCTACTAACTTGCCCAAGGACACATTGGACACGTGGCTGCAGGAGCTGGGGATCAAACCCCAAACCTGCCTGTTAGAGGACGACCGACTCTACCCACTGAGCCACAGCTACCCTATAGCTGTCTGTTCATCCATTGGCGCACTACAAATAAACACTGCTCATAATGTTGGCAAATACACAGCCAGCTTGTAGTAAGTAGTAGCTCATAGTGTAACTCAATCACCCCTCATTCTTTTGCATCCCTCAAAGGATTATGGGAAATGTAGTTCCCGAACAAGGTGATTTGATAGTCTCTCCAATAGACGTAAGGTATAGGTACACATGCGATAACACATGTGCATGAACACACACCTGACTATCCTCGTTTGACGCTGCTCGGGCTCCTTCCTCCCCTGCTCGTTAAAGAAGTGGCACAGTTTCAGAAAGTTGGCCCTGAAGACAGCTCCTACATGCAGAGTTATTAATCGTCTCTCTTAAGCCCTGTCCTAGATCACACAGCTCAGCAAACACTTCTAATGAAACAATAGACAGGAGGCCCTCATAAAGAGAGAACCGGAGCACAGTGGATCTGATTAGTGTCCGTGCAGAAAATACTGCTGAATGGGTGTATTTTGGCACACAGTGAGTATTTACACACATCATCAGCACCTTCCTTCCTCCACCTTATAGCCTCCTCACCTTTACCCTCCCTCTCTCCTCGCTCCTCATCACTGCGGCAGAGGATAACACTGCGGCTGCAGCGATAAGGGAAACCCGGCACCGGCAGAGCGATCGCATGGCCGTGCTCTTACCTCCACTCCACCTCTCTCCAATTCTCCTCAGCCCTCTGAGGGAGAGTATTATTAGAGGAGGGGTGGAGTGAGTGAACATGTTGGCAGCTGAGCTCTCCTGTGCAATGTCACAAGAGCCGTCGAGAGTGTTGCAGTGAGATGATGGTGTGGTGATTGGAGGATGTAATGCTTTGACGTCCTGAATCACAATCACTCAGAGAGATGAGAATATAACAGGAGGAGAAGCCACATTGTTGTGTTTGTTTGCTGCTTTACGTTGATCCAAATTTGAGCAGAATCGTCTCCAAACTAAATATAAGTTTGCAGTCGACCGGAGAGAGTCGAAATCATGTGAGTGTTTCTCCTTCAGGGTCCAAGTTTTGCGCCACAAAGAACAGATTTTGTTGTTCTGTTGAGAATATTTAGAAAAAGAGTATACATGGCAGACCCTGAAGCGCCAAGAAATACAAAAATAATGAAGATGGCACTGCTTCTAAAGTTGCAATCCAACATCTTTCCTCTCCCACATACAGACTTAGTACAAAGGAGTACAAAGGAGGCTTTATAATGTTATACTGACGTGGTCAAAATTGGAAGTCATATAAACTGGTAGCCGCAATTTCATGGCTTTATTTTATTCAGCAGCATCATTAGCGACTGAAAAACCATGAAGAGGAAAATCCTGGAGGATTCTTTGCTACTGTTCGACAATGGAAGATAGCGACATAGCGACCCGCTTTCTTGCTAACATTACATTAGCCGATAGTTTTAAAGGCTTTATATGCGATTTTTTTGATCCAGCAGATGTCGCCCTTGAGCACCAGCATGGAACCAAAACAACTCGTGCTGCATTGTTGTGTTAGCATGCTAATGCTAGCGATCTTTATTATGCTGGTATCTTCACACTGCATGTAAATTTACCTGAAATGAGCGTGATCTAGAAACACAGTTAAGCAGTGAGTACAGTATGTTATTCTTCTTTTCTCTAGTCCCTCAATTAAACAACTTTTATACACGAGGGGAGGAGTCAGCCGGCCGTCCCGACGATGTAAACAAACTGAAGATCGGACTCTGAAAACATCACAGACAGTGGGACTCGGGTGTTACACCCATTGTAGACAGTCATGACTCACAGAGTTATTTTCAGAGGATATACTTGATTTCTATTATATTTAAGTGTAAAAAATCACATATAAAGACTTTAAAGTATTACTAAAGGAAAAGTAAATCATTGCTAACGGTTATTTAAGTACCAACTCCATCCATCCATCTTTCTATCTCTCTATCTATCTTTTAGCGAGCTAACAGTTTTGTTAACTTGCTTGGAGTTGGTTGAACGCTAACGCTAGCTGATGTGATAGCTTTCAGTAGTTTTTTGGAGTTATCAAATATGTTGTTTGACCTTGAAATACAGCTATATTTTCAGTTTATCATATCTTCAGTTGCAAATCAATCAAGAAGGGTTGACATTTTAACTATTTGTTAAACTCACTAACATTGTCGTATTGTTTTGTCTCAGTGGACTGAACGAATCCAAACTAAAAAAAAAACATTCACAGACCTTGAAAACAGGCGACCCCAGTCGACATATGGTCGACCTGAACCTACTGTTCTTGGGAAAACAATTGGGAAGCTAAAATGCTAATTGAATTAGCCTAGCATTTTCAGCATTTTCGATTTTAGCCTCCTAATATCGTCATTGTTATAACTCTAGTTCCTAGTAAAAATGCTGTTATTAAGTAAATGAATAAGCTAACAATTATCAAACAGTTGATTAAATGGGACGGCATAAATAAGTCATTAGGCCTCATTACGCAAGTCTTTTTGTGAATCATACACACATCTCATTGCCCTTTCTGAAATCCTTCTTCTAACTGTCAGTCCTCTGGCTATTTATTTACTCATCTCCGAGTCCCGCTCTGCCTCGGATCATAAATCATACATACTCTGCTTACTGTGGGCACTTTTCTGTGCCGCAGCCAGAGACAGTCTCTCATCGCAGATTTCATCTTTCTCTTTGCCCTCCTAGAAAGTTGTCCTTGACCTACTTTCAAACCGTCAGGGGGGAGGCGTTTGAGTGCATGTGAGAGTGCAGGGTGTGCACGTGTGTCAGCATGTGTTTCATCAGTCCTCATGTGTGTCTTGAGTTGCCACATGAGCTGATGCGTGTTGGGGACGGAGGGCTATCCGGGCATGCATGTCGTCGCATCATGTAAAAATCTGCTCACGTGAATCTTCTGTCACTTTCCCTGTGGTGATGCATGTCACTTGACGGGGCATGCAGGGCTCAAGACTCATGTGCCTGTGTGTGCAGAAGTGCAAATAGAAAAAGGAATATGCTGTGGGAGACTCTGTGGGAGGATTTATATTATGCTTTCTCATCTGAGGTGAGGGGACGCTCATTAATTTACAGTATGCTGTGCAGATGGCCTACGTGAGTGGGCGAACAAGGACAAGATGTAGCAGAGGGAGCTGGGGATTTATAAGAAAGAAAATGACACAAGATCACTTTCTGCAGCCTTTCAAAAAAAATCAATGGTTTGTAAGTGAAAGAAATAGAGAAAGATAAATAGAGCAAACTGCATATCACAGGACCTTGAATGGCAGACATTTTATTGTATTTTTCCATGTAAAGTACATTAAGAAAAAGTAGTAATCCATATTGTAATGTTGACAAAAGCTGAAATGGTTGTGTAGGAAAGGGTGGCTCATATTGAGGAGAATTATTTGCATTGACCTTCCGCTCGACAGGGTATTTGAGCTTCTTTCAGCACACTGCTGTGGTTTTAAGGCCCATGAATTGAAGGTTTTGGTTAGGTATAGCCACTTTTATTAACCTTATTTTGATGCAGTAGGGTCTCTTTTGAGTAAAAACACTCACCATATAGTACCTGCCTCACTTTGGCAGACAAAAGGGTGACACTAATTGTTGAACGTGGTAGAGTATTGATCATCTAAGGAGCCATTTTTCCTTCGGGAGTTGAACACAAAAACGACATCTTGAGAGAGGCAAGTTACCCTTGGACTGAAACTCACCTGAATCCCGACTCCGAGTGGATGCTAACATTTAGTGTATATCAAATGTGTAGGGTGAGATGCCTGATATGTCTGTGCAGTCTAACAATCAGGAAACAGAATATAACAGCAAATCAAATTCTTTAAATGATGGCATCCAGGGAAGATGCATTTGCAGAACGATGGCTGAGCAAGTGCAGACTGTATCATTAAAACTTGTAACTCATGATTGAGCAAGAGATCAGAAGATGCTTAAGCCTCCAGGGCCTTAATATTGGTTTAGCACTAGGGGGCAGGGTTATGCTAATTAGACACAAAGCCCAAAAGTTTTTAATTGTTTACAGATATTTTTACCAGGTTATATAGTGAACATTTCTTGTTTTGCTTTACACAGACTTGTAGTTCCTTAGCTCCTAAGTTCTCTGGTTTAATACTCTGTTAATATCTTTAAATTGTTCCTCAGATCCATAAAAGAACTGTGAGGAACCAAAAAACCTTTCGTCAAGATAAATCTCAAGAACATATGAAGCCTGGGAGAAATTGTTACCTGGGAAAACACGACTGACCAAACCTAACTTCTTCAGATGAAAATTTGTAAATAGTAACTTTTAATCACTGCAGTTAAATTGTCAAGGAAGATAATAAGCATGAGTTGCAGCTCTACAATCCAGTTATCTCTAATAGTCATATTGCACATTTGAAGACTCGACATTCCTAAAAAGACTCGGTATGTGTGTTCATGAGACAG